AAGCGATCCCAGATCTTTGATGCTGAACCGTTGATCGAGGAAGGCCTTGACTCGATTAATGAAAACCAAGTCGTTACTAGCTAATAACACGTCATCAACATAAATCAATGCAGCAACAAACGACTCTCCATGCCGATAAACGAAGAGTGAATGATCAACTGGAGATGGACGAAAGCCAAGTTCTTGTGATACCAATTACGAGACGCTTGCTTAAGACCATAGATCGACTTTTGCAAGCGACATACACGAGTATCTCCTGGCTCCTGAAATCCTGGAGGAACTCGCATATAAACTTCTTCATCGAGGTCACCATGAAGGAATGCGTTGTCGACATCTAACTGCTGAAGATGCCACCCACGCTGCACAGCAACTGCGATGAGACAATGAACTGTGACCAATTTTGCAACGGGGGCGAAGGTGTCATGATAGTCCACACCCTCGACCTGCGTATAACCCTTGGCCACTAGACGAGCATGAAAACGCTCAATCGTACCGTCAGGACGATACTTAATTTTGAATACCCATCGACAATCAATGATACGACGACCGGGAGGTAAAGGAACAAGAACCCATGTTCCTGTAGCTTCTAGTGCAGCCACTTCTTTTCCCATGGCTGCGCGCCAAGCTGCGTCGAGTATTGCTTGCTGCCAAGTCCGAGGTTCTTCATTGCGAGTGACAGCTGCAAGAAAAGCTCGAAAAGTAGATGAAGCTTTACCATACGTGACATAATTTGAGAGGGGATACCTGACGTTGGAAGCAAGCTGCTCATACTCTTGATCCGTGGCATAGACGTCCAGATACTTGGGACAATGACGTTAACAGAGGCCTCTACCAAGCATTTCTTCAGCAGGAGGTGAAACTTGTGATACCTCCTTTGAAGGTGGTCCTGGTGAAGCCGTTGGTGACTTCCCGAGCTCGCAACGCGAGGAACGTGATGAGGACAACACCACATGCTCATCTTGACGAGGCAAAGAGGACGACGCTGACTCGGGGGAACGCGAAGGCGATGACAACGAACCTGCATGGCCCGGTTAACTGGGAGACGTCGAACCCGCTGACTCGGGTGGTCGTGGAGATGACGGTTGCAGGTCCTGAAAAGGATTAACGGCCATGCCATCATCATCAGCTAAAACCGGATTAGAAGCCAAACTATCTTCGAAGACCTCACTTGGAATCCAATGATACTCATCGGAATTCGGACTGTGAAAAGGGAAATGAGCTTCATGAAAGACGACATCACGGCTGACAAAAACCTTTTGCTTAGCCAAATCATAGAGAACATAACCTTTCTTGGTCGCAGCATACCTAAGAAATACACTGGCACGCCCCCGTTCTGCAAATTTATGAAGCCCACTACGAGTATCTTTCGCATAGACTAGGCACCCAAAAAATATGAGATGAGCATAAGAGGCTATTATGTCAAAGAGTATCTCATATGGCGTCTTTCCTGTTGCAGTGGTGGGCAAACGGTTTATCAAATAAACTACTGTCAGGATGCACTCTCCCCAAAACTGGAGAGGAAGCCCTGCTTGGAAATGCAAGGCGCGAGCTATCTCTAGTATGTGTCGATGTTTGCGCTCGACTACGCCATTTTGTTGAGGCGTGTCGGTGCAACTCGTTTGCAGAACTATACCAGAACGCTCATAGAAATCCTGCAGGCCCAGAGTATTGAATTCTAATACGTTATCAGCTTGAATTCGCTGAACCTTTTTATGAAACTGAGTGACCACAAGCTCGCAAAACATCCTCAAGCATCGTGCAACATCAGATTTAAATCTCAACAAATAAACCCAAACACCATGACTGAAGTCATCTACAATGGTCAAGAAGTAATGTGCACCGCTAAGAGAAGCGACTTTATATCCTCCCCAAATGTCTACATGAATTAACTCAAAACAAGCCGAAGTTTTGATAGAACTAGTGGGAAAAGGGGTCCGACTTTGTTTGGCTCGAAAACAAGAGTGACATGGGTTCTTGTTTTTGCTAAAAGAAACTGATATAAACTGACTAAGCTGTGAAAACTTTGCTGGCGATGGGTGACCCAAACGAGCATGCCAGACATCTTCTGACACTGAACATTTGTCGTCGGCAGCAAATACCAATCGTTCTTGACTCCCAAACAACTTCAGATAATATAGACCATCACGGAGAATCCCCTTCCCAATCACGCTCTTGGAGTGTAATTCCTCGAGTATACACAAATCACGGAGAAAAATCAACGCAACATTGTTATCTTTTGTGAGACGACTTACTGATAGTAGATTGCACTGGAACTCCGGGACATGAAGTACATGATCAAGATGTAAACCCGTAGACAACTTTACTGACCCAACTTTGGCAACTGGAACACTATCCCCATTAGGAATCTTAACCGGTTGGCTGTCTGAACACATAATCTCTTTGCTAAAAACTGAACCATCCCTGGTGATGTGCTCGTTACACCCTGAGTATATCAACCATTCAGAAGAGTTAAAGAGATTACCTGCCATGTGAGCGACTGGGTCGTCAACAGGCTTGGGTTGATTGAAGAATTGACGTAGCTGTTCCAATTTTTGGACAGTGAAGCCTGCTACAAGACCCGGTTCGGCTTCAGCTTGAGCCGCCTTGGGTTGGCCCTTGCTAGGCGGTGGACGCCGCTGCTGCTTCTTGTCCGAACTAGAAGGCTTCTCAGATTGACTTGACTCACCACGATTCGGCCATCCAATCAAATCGTAGCAAGTGGCCTTAAAATGGCCGACTTTACCACAATGTGTACACATCGGCTTACCTTCACTGTTACGCTGTCCATTCCGATCAGAAACATCACCCCGCGAGGCGAAAGCAGCTGATTCTGAGGTAGGGCGCCGTTTTTGCTCAAGTAGCCTTTGTTGTTCATCATTGAGAACTATGTTGAACGCCTCTGCAAGTGTGGGCGCAGGTTTCATAGACAGCACTTGGCTGCGTATTGTGCCGAAACTTTCATCAAGTCCCATCAGAAAATCATAAAGCCTTGCAGTCTCCTCCTTGCTCTTAATCCTGCGTTCAAGACCGCAGGTGCACAATCCGCAAGTACAGATTTCCGATGGTGAAAGTGACTGAGCTTCGTCCCACAAAACTCGCAGTTGAGTATAAAAGGACGACACAGACAATTTCTCTTGCCATAATGCCGAGACCAGACGACGCAATTCATAGCCTCGAGTGAGACTACCCTGTCTGAAGCACTCTTTGAGATCTACCCAGATTTCACGAGCTGACTTCACATATCGAACACTACTCCTGACTTCCTTGGACATAGACATGCGCAGCCAACCTTTGACATGAGCATCACAGCGCGTCCAGATACGCTGTTCAGGTTCCGCGGCGGGCTTAGGTATGGTCCCGTCGATAAAACTAAACTTATTCTTGACGATTAGGGAATCTGTGACATCTACTACCCATTCGCCATAGTTCGTGGACGTGAGAAGATCCCCGACCTGCAATTGACTGTTGCTATCGGAGGGATGAAGATAATAGACTGACGAAGCATCCGTATTGACGTTGGACAACTCCTTACCATGACCACTGGAAGACGAATCCGCCTTCTTCTCTTCGTCGTCGTCGGCCATGATCAACAATGATGACAGCGATCACCTAGACCGATCGCTCTGATACCATGAGAAATAATATGAACTGCGGAAATTAAAGGAACACGTTTGCTTAACGTGGTTCAATCTCACGGTGTGTGAGATCTACATCCATAAAAGACTTAGGTTTTTATTATTACGTTACTTGGCCAATAGGCCGTACAGGGATATTTATACCCTTACACAATTCAACTAGGGTACAATTCCTATCACCAATTGGACACGGTGATGACTGCATGACCATGCAAGGCTGCACGTGATGGGCCAAAGTCGACTGATTCTCTCCTTGGCCCAATATTAAAAAAAAAGGTTGAAAATGAGGTGGATCCAGTCTAAGAAAGGACCTATGCCCGATCGGTCCTATTTACGTAAATATCAAAATCTAATTGTTCATATTTGAATCCAGCAAATTCCTTTCTTTTTGTCGACTACCTCTACCCAAAAGACATTATTTGTGTAACCATTGAAAACTGATCTTTCCGGTTCGACCATTAAATTTCGCGATTTTGACCATGCTTTACTAGTTTTGACTAGGGGTGGTAAACGGTAAGCCGGTAAACGGTTTACCAGCGATATCGGCAGCCGAGCTGGAACTTGGGCGACTCGGTTTACCGGACACGGTATCGGTAAATACCGACAGTAAGTCGGTAATACCGATACCGAAATCCCCCCTCCCCTGCGTTGAGCTGCGTTTTGCTTGGCCCTCCCAAACCCTAGGAAAACCCCTACCCAGCCACCACGCCCGAGTCCCGACCTCTCCTCTTTTCGTTTTCTTTTCGAGACCGCGCCGCGCAGCCACCTCTCCAGCTCTCCTCTTCTCGTCTTCCTTCGCCTGATCGCCGCCTCTCCTTTTGTTGGCGGCGACGACTGTCGAGCGACGGCGACGAGCTACTCGCGCGCTTCCCCTGATTCAGCCCTCCCTGACTCTCGTCTCTCCCTTCCCTCGCCGACGCGCGACGCGACGCTAGTCGCCAGCCCTTCCCAGTCCCCAGTCCTCCTCCGCCACCTTCCGACTTCCCCGCCGCCCGACGTCGCTTCTCACGGTATTTCAGTAATACCGATTTGTAACCGTTTACCGGTAATTCAGTAATCGGTAAACCGGTTACAAACCGGTATCGGCTATCGATTCCAATTTAGCCACTGTCGGTATACTGAAATCAGTAAATTCGGTAAACGATTTACCATTTACCGGCCGAATACCACCCCTAATTTTGACTATTGCTCCATATCGATGGTCTTTCAATTGAATTTTGATTGAACTCAAATGTATCGGCTGACATACTAGTGGTTTGAGAATTACCCTACCACTATCCCTTCTCGTTATTGCACTAGTGTCGAATGTACAGTCGCTTTGATATGCGTAGTAGTGAACATTATCTCACTCAAAACTACAGAGAAGGATCATTGAAGAAAACACTTTCAACAGCAAACAAGGCAGAGCTGGACCTGAAGGTTGCAAGTCCGATGTGCGGCCTACCTGCCACCACTTGGAACTCGCTCAATTTAATAATCGTGGGCCAAGGCCCATGCCTGTGAAGGAATAATGAATTCGTGTAGGAGTCGTCACTAGTGTTATTATTTCCTTCAACCCAACCACAAAACTCTACACAATTACTTCTACAGGTCGACAACCACTTACTGTAGTATATGCTTACCTCTATCCCACCCTGAGTATTCATTCAGGAGTCAGGACTTCAGGTGCATATAATACTTCACCATTTGCTGTCTACAAGCATTTGATTTAAAGTTAACAGGACATTCGTTCAAAACTTACACCGTTTTGAAGTGACCAGAATGATCAGCAGACGGAGGAGGATATTCAATCGATCGATCAGATGAGCGACGGTTGCCAATCCAGCGTTTCACCAGCAAACATGGGCACAATCTCCCCAAATGAGAATGAGAAAGACTCTGGTACCTTCCATGGAGTCTTGGTGAGCTTGACTCTTGATGTGTTTCTGGGGAGGCCGTAGAAGTCTGGCCCGTTGAAGCTGGTAAATGCCTCTAGTTTGTCAAGTGCTCCAGCCTAAAACAATGCCCAATAGGAAACCATTGAAGTGATGGTAATACATTCTTGTAACGCTTAATAGTAATACAGACAGCAGGCTGAAACCGGTTCAGTAAACCAGTAAACCGTAAATCGGTATGCCCCTATTACATGTAGCAGAAAACAAACCTTTTAGTGTTCATGGTGGACCAAAACTGATAAGGAAAACTGTTGAATAACTGAAACCAAAACGATTTTACCAAAAACCGAAACCTTAAATATCTGAGCCTTGTTTCTGGGTTTGTAACAGTTTTTTCGGTTTAACCACACAAAAAAAGAAGAAGAAAACCAATCATTTGATAACTGGTTTATAACCGACAACGACAAGAATAACAGTTTGGCGTTTTAACCGGTAACCAGAGAAACCGAAATCTGTTTTAGTAGCCCTAAGTTAGTGACATAGGAAAGAGAAATCACCTCTTCGAAAACCTTGGTGTATGCCGAGAGGGCAACAGGGGCATTGTAAATGCCAGCGCATCCGCAAGAAGACTCTTTGCTTCGCTTCTCATGAGGTGCACTATCGGTTCCAAGGAAAAATCTTTTACTTCCACCAGTCACAGCCGAAACAATTGCCTGTCCTGGAATGTTACAGCAGGAATAAACACACATTACATATCGTCTCGGGGGATTTGCTTGTATATACAAGACCTATGCAAACCCAACTGCTGCTTTTATGCAAAGACCAACCAACAAGCCAATGAACATATCCAATAACCTCCATCTTGGAAACTAAGACGGTCCTAACTCTACTATGAGGTAGACCTTTACAAAAGTTCTTAAAACAAACAATATTTGTTCAGTCTAACTTCCGAAACAACTATTCAAAGGTTGACAAATTAGTAGCTAAATTTGTCGCACTAATAAGATTCTATACAACTTTGTCTCTCTGAAACAAGAATGATTCTCCATGTTTTACTCATATTAATCATTTCTCAAAATTCACTTATTTCTTTATTATTAAGCAAACTATTATCCAACCCGTCAATTACTTTTTTTTACTTCTACAAAACCTCAAGCAAAAAGAACGTTGCGCATTTTTTAGGAAAAAACTTAAACAAACACAACCACAGTAAATTTAGCTTCATAACACATACGATGGGTTTCTCTTTTGAGAACTGGAAGGCAGTAATTATGTGGCCGCAATCCTCCTTGGAAGATAGCATTCCTATTTAGTAAAAGATGCTGAGGAGTGACAGTTGCTGCAACCAATCCTACAAGGTAAAAGAACCAGGGAATGCATTTATCAAAATTTCCATGACGAAGTAACTGAAAGCAAGAACACTTAACAGAAAATCGAAAAGTCTTCTAAGCATAGTTAGCATACCTTCACTACAGGATTCAACGAAATTAACAGCATCCTTGGTTGTGATATGCTCCATGACAATCTTTAGCTTTGGAAGCCTATTGATTAGAGGTTGTAATATAGTTTCGATAAAAACCTTTTCACGATCAAAAATATCGATTTTCGGATCTGTGACCTCCCCATGGACCTGAAGAAAGAACAAGAAATGAAAACAGAAAGTTGAGCTTAGTCCAAGCTGCTGTGAAAATCTGGGTCTTGAGAATGATTTGACATTCCACCAGCACAGGTTTATGCAAGTGAAAACATTCCACAGCTATGTGAGCTATATCTTATATCAATTGAAGCTCTAAAGGCCGCTTATGGTTTGAAGAAAGGCGCTCTATAGTCTATACTCTATACAATACACTCTGTCTGCACCTGACGATTTAATACATCCTTTCTGGGCAAAAAGAAATGAGACCGGCTTTCAATTGGATCAAAATGATTTTCTGGCTTTAACATCCATAAGATGGCTCTATTTCATTAACAAATATATCGTTCCAACTTACTAAAGAACCCACCATTGGGTCAATAATGAAGCATATTCAAGAAGAAACAGAATTAAGCAGTACCCTCCTAGAAACACCAAAACACTTTCCACAAAAGAAAACACCAAAGCATAATCAGCCAGTCGAACATGGTGGAAGTGCGAGAATACCAGTAAAGGCATATTCTGCTCAACCATCTCCTCTAGCACAGTAAGGCATTTCCCAAAAAGATCAGTAACCCCATCTTGGGAATTAGTTGTAGCACCAGCAGGATACAACTTCACACCATAAACAACCTCACTTCTTCCTATCAACAGAATCAGAATAATCATTAGACGACGATCCACAAGTCTCCCAATTCAAGTGGAATTAACATCTGCGATTATTTATCAGTGCGAAATTCATAGATCATTCAAATGGGTTGCATGTGGAAGGATATCAAATTGCAATGACATTAAACTACAAAGTCAAAAGTGGAACCATACAATCTAGAGTTCAATATCAATAAAATATTCTTAGAATACAATTCGCTTCGCAGTTTCAAAGTGATATTGAAGGAAAGAAACAAACAACACACATTGCTCACCAAATGTGGAATAACAAATAGACATTTCAAATGAGATAGTCAAGAACTTGGACTTACTTGCAAGCTTGATCTCCTCGGGACTTGTCTTATCCGTCAAATAAATTGTCATAAGAGGTGAAAAGTTACTACCAGCAGGCAGTGCTTTCATAATAGAATCTTTGTAAGCAACGGCTGCAGCAGTGGTGGTAATGGGAGGCTTCAAATTTGGCATCACAATCGCCCTTCCAAAATGGCTTGAGCTGCAAAGTGCAGACCCATAACCGAACCAATCAGTTCCCCTAACTATCAGGAGCTCTTGTTCTTTCTTCTAGTAATCAAACTATCCAATTAGTGTTACAACAACATCAACAGCAGCATTAAGATTCATTCTCACCTGTGGGGCGCAACAGCTTGAAGAAGGTCCCCGTCACGAAGGTGGAGATGCCAGTCATCCGGCAGGGTGATATTTAGCTCCTCCACCATTGATGCTCTGCACTTCAAATTCTGTCTACAACCTTTCGCCTTGCCAATGGGGATTTTCAGTGCCTAGAAGAATTTACTATCAATTGCATTATCAATGAAACTTAATTGAATCTCAAGTTGATTGAGAGAATAGGGAAAGGTGGAGTCTTTAACATACATGGCATGGGAAAGCTGAAGTCTTTAACATTCCAAAGCCAAGCAGCAACCTTCAAGCCTGTGCAAAACCTCGACCCCCTTTCAACGAGTGAAGAGAATGTTGGAGGAAGACGTTGGTGCGAAATGCGGTCTGCGGCTGGCAATGGACTAGCGGCGCGGCGGAGGGGAAAAATCAATCAAACGGCCTGCGTGCCCGTCGAAATCCTTTGCACCGCCGCGAACACCAGAACTATTCTCCCGACTGAATGAATGGGTTTTGGCCCTTTCACGCTTTGGGTTCATGTGAGGCCCAATAGTAAGCCCGTCAATCAACAAAAGAAACCTCCTTACTATTCTCCCGAAAGACGAAGAATTGAAGAGGGCGAGGCAGCCATTGGAGGCAAGGGAAGCTGATCGAAGGGCAAAGACGATGCTGAGAATCTGCACCAAGCTCCGCTCTTTAGCGGCTCAATCATCTAATCGATCTCAACTCTTCCTACCCTCTTCTTCCCGTGGCCTTATTCTCCCCCCTTCTCCATTGATTTCATGTAAAGGCCAACCACTCCATTCCACCGCTGCTTCTACTGCTTGGAGTCTCTGTGGGCAGCTCCTCAATGCGTCAAAATCTTCCCCTAAGCTGCCGTCTCAATTTGTCTCCTCGCCTTATTCTGTAAGCTTTCTGATGGTCTTGCTCCCATTTGGTCATTCTGAATTGCACGTATGGTGACTGACAAAATGCCGGAAAGAAGTGTACTACTAGAATACTCATTTGAGCGAGAATTTGGATTGAAATATCGATTAGAATTTTCCTCATATACTAATTGAAAGTCGAAATTCTTCATTTTGAATTTAGTTGGTGGGTTTTCGAGGTGTTTCATCGAGGGAGCGGAAGAAGAGGAGGAAGCCCATGACACCAGTCACCTCCAAAGTCAAGAAGATTAAAATGAAGGGTTACTCGTAAGTCCGGAAGCAGTAACTTGAAACGTAGGGTGTCTCATTTGCTGAGGATGTTAAATGGCTTCCTTTTTTTGTTCTTCTTCAATCTATGCCATTTCAGTTCCTTCAAGGACAGGTTTCGTCCCCTGAATGATGGGACTATCCGGAGATGGCACGAGGGTAAGAGGCACAATGCACATCTAAAGGTATGTCTTTGATAAGTTTTGCTATCCGATCATACTTCCCTTTGTGCTCACAATAGAAGCCCATTCCTTTATGAACTAATCACTAAGTAACCGGTTATTTATCTTTTTCCTCCATAACATGAGTGATAATTGCTACGAAGTTGTTTCGTTAGAATAAGTGATAACGTGATGCATGAGTGACACTTAAGCTCACCAACAATACCTGGTCTCACAGAATTGTTGTGTACAGGGATAGATACCGAAGAGTTGCATGTCTTACTGTATATTAAGAGGCCAGTCTCATTAGAACTTTGTCTAATTTTTCTTGTAGTACCAACTTCCTCAATTCTTCTGTTATCCCACCCCCCAGGGAGGTTCCCTATTTTCAAACTTTGGCGTGCCCTTCAACTTCATGCATCTGGGTGTATAATCAAAAGAAACATGCATTAGCTATTGTTAGTTTGCATAAGTGAAAATGTTTCCAGCATATTATTTGTAACGCACTGCGATTTATGTGTTTCAAATGTTGTGATGTGATCAATACTTGAAACTTTGCTCGTGTTTGTAACCACCTAAATACTTTGGCCAGGGTAGGTTTATGGAACATCATCTGACTAAAGTTTCATAGGATTTTGAAGTGGAATTTAGACCTTGTTTCTAAGGATGAAAACAAGGGGTTTTGCATGGCTGAAAAATTGTAGTGTGAGAATGATCTATGCATCACACAGGATCCGAGCGCATCTATAGCTGGTAGATGCATGATTCATTTAGTAGAATTGCGATACTAACTGGATACAATGAACTCTAATGGTACCATCACCTAGAAATAAAGTTTTGTCATAGGAATTTGTCCTTATAAAAAAAAGTACCTAATTAGAGTCTCTTACACTTTTCAGTTTTCATAGAAGGATATTATTTCTTGCCATTCAGGCCTTGTCCCATTCTAGCTCAAAAGGGATATTCAGTTGTACTAATAGAGGACTGCGACTTCAATAACTGTTAATTTTAACTTAAGACCTCAAATGACAAATTGTAGGAAACAAGATTTCCTACAGGTTGGGAATTGGGGAATTTAGCTAGATCAATTAGGGATTGATCTAACTAGGGATTAGAATTGGGGATTTTGAGAACAAGAAGAGGGAAGGGAGGAGCTGCTGCCGCAGCTTTTGGAGCCAAGAGGGAGAGAGAGATTTCGCAGGAGAGAGGGAAGAGAGAGGTTTAGGATTTAGGTTTTTGGTTCTGTAATTGCTTAATCCCAAAATAAGACCCTATTACAGATTATATAACCTGTCCAATTCCTAACTGCTACCCGAATAATAAAACATAACAATTAACTTCCTGTTTATTCCCCCAAATACCCAAATAATACCCCAATCAATAAAAACCGACTCTAATACGAAATAACCAAAAACTGCAAATAATTATGTTTCCCACATCCCCTCTTCCTTCGAAAAACAACCTTGTCCCCAAGGTTGTTCCTCCAGCTCACTAGGCATCTTCCTCTCCATTTCCTTCATCCTCAGCTTCTTCTTCTGCTTCGTCTTCCCAGCGCCCAACCAGCATCATCAAATTCGGCTTCGGGCATTGATGACCAATGGTGAACCGGCCATCACAGTTGAAGCACTTGCCCTCCCGCCTCTTTTGCTCAATCTCTGCCGGCGTCAGTCGCACGAATCCCTTCGGTATGGCCCGCTGCCCCACCCTGGCCACCGGAGCTGGTCCTCCACCGCCCGCATTGGCCCCAGTCGAGCCCGCGGGTGCCCCACCTGTGCCGCCACTAGCACTGCTGCTTCCTCCTCCTCCACTTGGCTTTGAGAAGCGGCCAATGGTGCTTCTCCAGCTAGCCAGTTCTTCCTCCTTATGACCTGCAAGACGAAAAGCAGTTTTCACAGAATCGGGCTCAAACACCCTGACTGCCGCTGCTATCTCGGGTTTGAGACCCGCCATGCATAGCCCCACCAAGGTGTCCTCCGAGACTCCCTTGCACTGGTTCCCCAATTTGAAGAACTCCGCGCGGTACTCTGCCACCGTGCCGGTCTGCTTCAGCTTTGCCAACTGCTCAGGAGCCCACCCATCTGACTTCCCAAACTGATACCGGAGCTCCTCCTGAAACATGGGCCAGGTGATCAAGGTTGCTGCTGCTGCATAGGATCGCTCCATCCACTCCCACCATTGGAGCGCATCGCCCTCCAGATAGAACGATGCCAGGTAGGCTTTCCTCTCCTCCGGGATTGGGTGATTCTTAAACCACCTCTCAACTGCATACAACCAAAGACCTGCATCCTCCTGCCCATTGAATTTGGGAAACTCAATGGTAGGAGGCTTAGCTCGAAAAACTATCCCATCCATTCCCTCATAGTTTGGATACTGGGACCCATACCTGTCATTTCCTGGCGTCTTCCATGGCTGCCCCCACTGAGAGCACTGCATCTGGTTAGGATTCCCATGTCCATAGTCACCTGGATAGTAGCCCGGCTGATTCGGGTATCCCCCTGGGACATGCGGCGCCTCATATGGGCCCTCTCCTCCTCCTGGACCCCTGCTGTCCGCTCTCCGGTTCGGCTGCGCGGTTGGACTCGGTCGATGCCCGGTTCGACCCACCTCGGGTCGACCCATCCCGGTCCGTCCCGGTCCGGTTCGGCTTAACTCGGTCCGATCAGCACTGGTCCGACCAATCCCGGTTCGCTCCGGTTCGGTTCGAACCCCTCCTGACCCGTCCGCCTGCCCCGGCCCAATAGGAGCCGACCCGCCCGGCCCAATCTGGTCAGTGGACCTATTCGGCCCACCAGGCCCCTTCTGGCTCATCTCTTGTTCAGCCCATTGGGCCTGCTGGCCCGCCAAGCTTAGTTGGTCATACTCAGGCCCACCTTCCAGATCCAACCATCCCAGCCCGTTATGGACCCTTGTATAGTGGCCCAGCTGGCCCGGCCCACCATTCATAGGAGGCCCATCCGTGTCATACCCAGCCATCTTAGCCTTTCCTTTGCGGGCCGCAATTTCTTGGGCCGTGGGTGTAGGTAACAGGCCCGAGCCTGAGCCCAGCCCTAATGCAGTCCGCCCAGCCCTGCTCCCTTCGGCCCTCTCGCCTGGCGCGGCAACCCGGGCCGCCGCCACCCCCGTCGGGATCGCCCCGCCGCCGGGCCCGCTGCCCGCCCCAACCTCCGTCGCCGTGGCACCCGCCGGCGCCGCCAGTGCCGCCTGCGCAGTCGCCCCGCCGCCCGCAGCCGCCTCTGCCGCGCCCAGACCGCCGCCTCCTGCCAATGCCGGCTCCGCCGTGATCGGCGCTCCTTCTAGGCCGCCTCCTCTTGCCTGCAGCGAGGTAATTGCCCTCATCAGGTCATCCAGCCTCTGACGCAGATCGTCAGCATCCTCCTTCGCATCAGCCTGCACTCTTGCCAGGCCTTCTTCGAGCCTAGCCAGCGCCTCAGAGTGCTCGTGCACTACCTCCTTTACCGCCTCCAGCTCAGTGAGGTCCTCCATCACCACCTCGTCGCGATCAACACCGCCCGTTCCGGTGCTCCTCTCGGCTGCCTGCGCCTTCTCCTCCGCCGCCTTCATCGATTTCGTTGTCACCATTGTTGCTTTCCCTGGTTCAAGAGTTCAGACGAACTCACTCTCGAGCCAGGCTCTGATACCAGATGTAGGAAACAAGATTTCCTACAGGTTGGGAATTGGGGAATTTAGCTAGATCAATTAGGGATTGATCTAACTAGGGATTAGAATTGGGGATTTTGAGAACAAGAAGAGGGAAGGGAGGAGCTGCTGCCGCAGCTTTTGGAGCCAAGAGGGAGAGAGAGATTTCGCAGGAGAGAGGGAAGAGAGAGGTTTAGGATTTAGGTTTTTGGTTCTGTAATTGCTTAATCCCAAAATAAGACCCTATTACAGATTATATAACCTGTCCAATTCCTAACTGCTACCCGAATAATAAAACATAACAATTAACTTCCTGTTTATTCCCCCAAATACCCAAATAATACCCCAATCAATAAAAACCGACTCTAATACGAAATAACCAAAAACTGCAAATAATTATGTTTCCCACACAAATGGCTTTGAAGTTCATGTTTGGTATCAACAGTCTACATGACAAGATTATGGAAGATTAGGACTGGAAGCTTCTGCATGTGGAGGTCCATAGACATGTATGTGGTGTTGGGTAACAGTGACACAATCAACAATCTGGAAGAAATGAGATGCACCTGAATTATTTTAGACTCTTTAGGAAGAAAGTTGAGTCTATTTCCATGGTGGTGTTGATTTGAATGAGTTCCTACTTGGATGGAAAGATTTAAAGGATCTAGATTTTCATTTGGCAAACACATTTTAGGTAGAGATGCTTGAATAATGAAAAGACAAGCATTTAGTCTAATTGAAATCCTCGCTAGAGCTGCTCCATTAAGCTTGGATGTGCAGGCTTGTCGTTTAGGTCTACATGGAATGGTTAACAAATCTTTGTTACTTGATGCAGTCGAGCAAAGCAAAGCGCAGACTTAGAAAGCCCGCTATAGTGCCAGCGGCTTATGCAAAGGTCATGAAGAAGCTTAATTTCTGCACATGAAGCACGCATCTCAGTCGGACCAATTTGGGAGCACTTAGAGCATTGCTACCAATGTGATACTGGCGGCGGTCTCATAGCTCCCTCCCTAACTTTGGTGCTTTTGTTGGTTGACGAAGATTCTACAATTTAGGAGTGCACACTTTCTAGGTCAGTGGTGTTTGTTGCCATCTGAAATACCTATTGTTTGGATTCCTCCCCGTCAGCGTTCGAGAAATAGTGACAAGTAGATTTTAATCTTTGATTTGCCAAGCTTGGTGGAGCAGTTGCTGGGTTTATTTTCTGTTCTGCCTTCAATTTTTCACCGAGGTAGATAAATAGGTATCTCAATAACAAGAGTTTCTGCAGAGTGGATATCAAACCAGTTTGCCTTCAGGATTTTTGTAAGGAGTTGAGACATGGAAACTAGGCACTCTTTCACGCAACAAAATGTCATATGGGTTAGAAGATTGGAGCTGCTTCCACTGGCTCCGGCTCGAGTTGCATTTATGTTTTAAACATAACAACAAATTGCTTGTAGTGTAATGCATAAATTTTTCTCTAATAATTGCGGGGTTACGAGTTCAAATCACAAAGCCTACTATCTATCTATATATATTTTTTAAAATCAAACTACTATTAGAAGATTGTTTATTTCCCCATATTTTAGAGGTGTGCTGAGCAGTGAGCACCTCTAAATAACCATTAATCAACTCATATCTTAAAATTCAAATTACTACTGATGGGTAAAAAAAAAAAGACATTTGAGCGCTGTGATTTGCGCATTCGACCATTTGTCCATGCCCATGAATATGGTAGTAGAAATGTTTGTCCTCGTTGTAATCTTTTCAACAGTCTCTTGAACCACAGTTAACTTATTGACATTTGGTTCTAGTTTAGGTGCTCGACGTGTCAATCGCTAATTGGTTTAGCAGCTTGCTCCTTCGAAGTGGATTGAAAATATCAACTGTATCCGTACTTCCATCCAACTCATTCAAAGTGTCTCCTCATTGTACATGCCCCATGTAACATCTCCAAATATACTCATCATCATGTTTCCTTTGAGATATCATAGCATTTTCCTTAAATAAAAAGAAGCTAGCGAGTTTCAACAGGATGAGGTGTTGGTGATGAATGACGAATAAATTACGAATTGAAAATTAGAAGAATGAAGTTGTATTTTGTTCGAAGTAGAAACTAGAATGTATTATATATAATGATGACAGCTAAATCTCACCGACACTTAACTATTGTATTTATATATTCTTATTTTCTTCTGAACCAAGATAAGTCCCGGGATACACCTTGGTATGTCTTGCCTCCGCCACTAAACACATTTGTATCATTCTAAAACCCTGTTGAAAAATCCAATACGATCTTTACTTTCTCCAGCCTGACCTAGATCTGTAGACGATATATGCCACCGCAATAGTTGCTATAGCCCCCACTACAGCGACTATCACACCAACGTTACGAACCTTCTCTTCTTCTGCATCATTGTCTTCATAGGATGTTCCCGCATGGCCCCTGCCAAGAAATGTACGTGCTTCTATTAGATTTGTAACCACTACAAGTAAAATGCAAAGAACAGAGAACCAGGCACAAGATCACAAACCTCAATTTATGTAACCATCACCTCTCCTTTTGACGCGTGACAGCCTCACGCGTCGGGAACTAGAAATACGAAAACTAAAAGAAACTGAAAATATTGGGGTTTATTCTTCTTCGATAAATAAAACGTAAGGATTAAGTACATATTTATAGGACGCATCCCATAAACCCTCTCCCCCTCAAACATGGTAACCTAAACCGAGTCCAACTCCTAAACGATTTACTTCCTAAACAGAATAATAATAATCCAAAATAACCCTAAACAAAACGAATGAATATCCAAAATAGACACAATAATAATTATGCTAAGATAATAGACCAGCCAATGATGCGTGAATGCATCAATCCTCCCCCCTTCGAAGAACTTCGTCCCCGAAGTTCAAGCGACATCTCATCCCGGTTCAAAGGGGAAGTAGCATCCTCGCATCTTGCGGTAAATGACGACAAGAGTTGGACCATGATCTTCGCGCTTTCGGTACTTCCATTTACGTCTTGTTACCATACGTATCCAGTAACAAACCATAGCGCCCTCAACTCCTGCTCTGTCGAAAGGAAATTCGAGTCCACCGTTTTCATGCTCTTTCCATATGCTTCTAACCTTGTGTAACCATCTCGAGACCCACTCACCTGGCAACCCTTCCCTAGCAGCGGACAACAGTCCCTCAATAAAAGGGTCTTGATAATCACCATCCTTTTCACTAAGCTGCCAATTTGGGCCAGGCACCCATAACCACCCCAAGCTTCCTCCATCCATCATATCAATATTAGTTCTTACCTTCACAGGTACGTAACCAATATTGGAAGGGAAAATTTCATTGTAGTCTATATGAGTTACCGTAGAGCAAACGTGTGACAGTGGTGATGAGATTGTTGTATGGATGGGCGGCCGGCCGATTGATTCCACAAAGGTAGTAGCCGGTGTGGCAAAAATATTCACCACGATACCCTCCTCATTAGCAGCTGTCACTTCGACTTGCCGCCGCAGCGGCTCCGCGGCGGGCGCCACAACAACGATCATTACTCGAGGTGCAAAAACGGATGAAACGTCAATATCTCGAGCATTAGCAGCTGCGGCGGATCCATGCCCGAGTGCGGTGATGGAGGAAATCTTATGTTTCGTGGGGAGAGCGCCGTCAATATTCTCTCCCGTCAAATTTAAGGCTCTCTCCACCTTCATCTTTACACCATATTTAGATAAATCGAATATGACTTCAGTTTCGAGATAGGTCCTTGCCTTTGGAGACCCCTTTGGTGCGTTATCAATGGTGCCAAAATCTGTGACTTTTGGAACTTTTTTGGTGACGATGGGGTCATAAGGAATAATGTCTCCGAGTGGCGGCACCGGAGTAACCTTGCCAATGTTGAAGGCTTGGCCAAGGAGTCCCAGCCGCGGTGGTGGCAAGGCGACGAGTGTATCAGCAGTCGACATGGCTGACAGCAGTGGCGGCGACGTGTTCGACGGTGGCAGTGGCGTGGTAGCTGACGCTGTTGGTACGTTGCCGACGATGGAAACAGCAGCGGCGGGCGGATGGTTTCCTTCTATGGCAGCAGCGGTGACAGGAAAAGCTCGATAGGCTTTGACGAGGGCCTCCACCTTCTCGCAGTGCCTGTCGAAGGATTTTTGCAGCTCCTGAAGTGTTTGCAAGACGCAATCCAGCCAGGGTTCGTCGAGAGGTTGTTGTGTCGGGCAGCAGACTCCGAAGTGACCTCCATCAAAGGGGTCGGCAGCAGGGTACGAGGTCGTACCGTCCAGCGACATTGGCTCTGGGAACTTTGGCGGCGGTTGATAGGATGGGATCAGAAACGATTGCGTGGACTGCGGAGGGAATCGTGACTGGCAGTTGGATGAAGATCGACGGCGAACAATATTTTCAAACCGTTCTTCTTCCTCCAGAAGATCAAGAAGCTCTTGCTCTTCTAGCATGTCGCGTATAAACTGATATCTATCAGGCATAGCGACTTTCAGCAGTATTGGCGGTGTAGAGGTTGCTCACGGGACCTCTTCCCAACGTTGGTGGTTGAACGCTGGCGATGCCTGCCCTGGGAGCTGCAGCAGCGAGCTCGGTTCTCTCGAACTAGGCTCTGATACCAATTGACGCGTGACAGCCTCACGCGTCGGGAACTAGAAATACGAAAACTAAAAGAAACTGAAAAATACTGGGGTTTATTCTTCTTCGATAAATAAAACGTAAGGATTAAGTACATATTTATAGGACGCATCCCGTAAACCCTCTCCCCCTCAAACATGGTAACCTAAACCGAGTCCAACTCCTAAACGATTTACTTCCTAAACAGAATAATAATAATCCAAAATAACCCTAAACAAAACGAATGAATATCCAAAATAGACACAATAATAATTATGCTAAGATAATAGACCAGCCAATGATGCGTGAATGCATCACCTTTCCCAACATGCTGATCCAGAATGTTTGGCACAACGGCAGGAGTAACATGGCCGTACCTGCAGCAATAGTTTCAGTTAGTATTCGTCCTTCAATCTCCCAAAATGACTCCGGAAAAACAAGAGATTGAGGAATTGGCATCCAAAGCCTGATCATCACCAGTGACCGGTAACTCTCTCCTCCGAGTCCGATCTGTACACAATCAAGTTTGGAGCGTACTCATGGCCCGTAACGTCCGAGCAACCGATGACGTACACCTGATCCTGCAACCCTCGAGCCTCGACGCCCTCTTTGAGCTTCTCGATAAGAACTGGGGCACAGAGACCGTATATGTCACGACGGCTCCCATGAGCACATACAAAGATGTGACAGCCAGTCAACTCCTCCTGTACTCCAGACACCCATGGTACATGTTTCACTAGCACATCGTCAATGAACTCAGCAACGTCCAAGTCCTCCAATCGCCTGATTACAAATAAATCTTGAAATCCAGACTTTCACATCAAAATCGCTCGAAAAAAGACAGGAATTCGCTCATTAGATACAGAAAATAGTCCCAAATTTTGGACATCTCCCACTCCACTTAGCTAGCATTAGAGAATCAAGAAAACAGCAGTCCAGCAGTATTCTAATACTTAAACTCAGAGGTTGAAAGCAAGTTAGCAACATTGTTAGTTGGCCGGAGGCATGACAACATTGTTAGTTAGCAACATTGTTAACCTTCCTACTCACTTGGGTATTGTGAATCATAGTCTAGATGTGTGTTAGGATGTAAGAACTTGATTCTATTGTGTTGATTGTATATTTTATATAATATTTGAGGTATTAATCATGAATGATTGGGTATTGCTTGCTTTATCTCATTATTGGGTCAAATTAAACTAGAAGGTGGAAATCCCCCTTTGGCCCATAGGGAGCTTGATCTCCTAGCCACTTGGGTAACCCCTTTTGGGTTAATCTAAGGACAAAACTTCAAGTATTGGAGTAGTACCTTGATCCCATCATGGTTGGTCGCTCTCTGCCGTTCGGATTAACTTCTGAGGGTTGGGTCTTGCAACCCTTAGTTGATTAGTTAAGAGGGCTAGATCAACTAATACTAGTTTGAACTTAGTGCGTTAGTTATGCTTAAAGCAAAGGAAGCAGGAATATTCTCCCCATGATGTTGGAAACTTATATATAAGTGGTCCCAGTAGTGTAGCCAGATTTTGAGTACACTGGGGTCCTTAAGAATTCAATAACGCTATAACCTTGTTATCTAATGAACTTTGAGTTGATTGGGATCCCCAGATGAACCAACATCAAAGAGAGTATGGAGTCCTAAATTTGAAAGATCGTATTTAACCTATATATTTAAAGGAAATTTGTTGCCTTATTTTTTGTCAAGTGGATATGACCCCACTCCTCTTCACCTCCTTCACCTCCCTCCGCCATTGGGTGGTCCTCTCTGATCTTACTTCACGTATGTTTTGCTAAATGACAATATCGTGTTAAAAGCAAGATTGGGCTGTGCATGGAGTAAATAATTTTCAACTCGAGTTAGGTTAAGCATTTATTTGGAATTCAGTTGACCGTTGCTGGCACATTCCATTGTGAGATTGAAGTCCACCAACTACAACTCATTAGTTGTTCGTAAATTGACATAAAATTAATTTATTATACTATAAGCGAACTTTTAATTACAATAAATACCTAATCAAATCTTTTTTCTCCTTATGTCTATTCGTTTTTTCTCAACAATCCTGAAATTTTTCAGCGACAGCAGCAATTCCACTAGTTTTGATTCTACCAATTTGCAACTGCAAGTGCAGGAAGAACATTTTCAGCTTTGAGTTAAATTAAGAACAAGTTTCGAAGTCAAATTGGCGACCAGTTTGCTAATGATTGTTCAGTGTGATACATTAAAAGAAACTTACTTAACATTGTAGACAACAGATGTTTTTGTGTTTCTTTTGCAATATGAAATTCCGTCATGGTTGCTTATGAAAATTATGATTTTATTAGTCGATTATTTTTTATATGTGAATGAATTATTTAGATATAATTAGTTTTAGTTTTATTTATTAATTAAATATTTATATTATGAAAAAAAGGATAATGGTAGTTTCAAATTCTTGCTACGCCCCGCAGCCGCCGATTCCGCCTTCGAAAATCGACGTTTGCTCGCGGAGGAGGTAAAGGAAGGAATTTTGTCTTGTCCAAGAGAGGATTGCTCTTTCTATATAAGTATATGGCAAGAGAACCTGGAATCCTGGATCCTACAAAGAGGCCTTTAGCATTATGGAAGCCGGGTTACACTCGAACACACGGCTACCCGGAGGCATTTTTTCGGTGGTCGAAATGACGATAATCAGCTTCATTTTAGTCCTAATACAAACTGAGATGCAAACAAATTTTTAGCCAACTCACAAATTCTCTATAGTTTGAAACGAGGTAGTAGCCGGATTGTTCGAATCTGTTCAGTCCGTTATCATAAAACCCTAATTCATTCCTTTTCATCCTCGGCAATCTTACTGCGATTTTCCATGGCGGAATCGGAAAACGCTGCTGCTGCTGCGCTGATTCGTGGGGTGAAGGCGGGGACTGTCAGCAAGATGAGCAAAGATGCGGAGATTTTTTCAAGGGATTGGAGATGGGCAAGAAGAAACTCGACGGCACCGTCCCTCGATACGACCGCCACATCTTGCTCTGCTACCAGAATTCCGAGGCGTGGCCGCCTTGGTTCCACAAATCTAAACTCGATACATTTCTCAAGCTGTTTATCAACCATGTTGATGTGACTTGAATCGGACTATCAGCCGCTACGACTGGTAATCGGGGGTCTCGCTGTCCGGTCAGCGAGTGGGGTCCATGGTGTATGGGCTCAATGTTATTTGGGTTCGGGTTCTAGGTCTGGTCTGTAACCGTTTCCTTTGGCAGTTTGGATTAGGTTTAGACCCACATGGAGAAGTACTATAAATACTTCTCATACTCCTCTGTAATCTGTAATCTCCTCGATATAGTGAAACTGGCTCTCTCTCGCCTGTGGACGTAGCTAACACACATCGTGTTAGTGAACCACGTAAATCGTGTGTCTGTGTTTTCAATTCTCGCTTTTGTATTCTTGCTTTGTCGATTCCAGGAATTTCTCGATCCGTAGCAGCGCGTTTATAACAAGTGGTATCAGAACCGCGGCTGGAAATCAGGCTAGGGTTTTCGATTCAGAAGAATGACGTCGGTGAACATGAAGATCGAAAAGTTCACGGGGAAGAACAGCTTCGCTATATGGCATATCAAGATGCAGGCTTTATTAAAACAGCAAGGGCTGTGGGGGCCGCTGTCTGCGAAACAGAAGAAGGCAGCGGTCGATGACGATGAGTGGAATACCCTGGAGGAGAAGGCCCACTCGACCATCATGCTATCATTGTCTGATGACGTCATCATTGAAGTCGCTGCTGAGAAGACTGCCGCGGGCTTGTGGTTGAAACTGGAGAGTCTGTATATGACGAAGTCTCTAACCAACAAGCTGCATCTCAAGCAACGGTTGTTCAGCTTGAGGATGCAAGAAGGTACGCCTTTGAGGGAACATCTCGAACAGCTTAACTCTATTTTGCTGGATCTGCGTAATATAGATGTTCAAGTTGATGACGAGGATGCTGCCCTAATCCTGCTGGTTTCTTTGCCGAGTTCATATGAGAATTTCGTTGATTCTTTTATTGCCGGTAAAGAAAGCGTGTCGTTGGAGGATGTCAGGTCTGCTCTTCATACGAGAGAGATCAGACATAAGGCGTCCGGATCTGGTACAGGTGGTGAGGCATCGGGTTTGGCTGTTACAGGTGGAAAGGGAAAGAAGAAATATGGTAAAGGGAATTCAAACAAGAATTCCAAGGGTCCCGGTCCACAGCCAGGTGATGCTTGTCACAACTGTAAGGAAGTAGGGCATTGGAAGTACAACTGTCCCAAGAGAAGAGGGCAACAGAAGAAACAAGGTTCAGTTGCCGTGGCAGAAGGGGACAACAGTTCTGTAGACGATCTCGCCTTGGCTGTAGATGAGAAGGCACATCGTGGTGATGTGTGGTTTTTGGATACTGCAGCCTCATACCATATGTCTCCGAATAGGGATTGCTTCACAACCTACGAGCAGATAGATGGTGGTAACGTGGTCATGGCTAATGGAGCTGTCTGCAAGGTTGTTGGAATCGAGTCCATAAAGGTTCGGACACATGATGGTTCGTTCTGTACCGTGAATGATGCCAGGCATGTTCCATGAATGACAAAAAACCTGATCTCCTTGAGTCTACTCGACGGCAAGGGCTTCAGCTTCAAAGGAAAAGGTGGAGTTGTGTATGTCTGCAAAGGTTCAAGGAAGGTACTGAAGGGCGTGAAACGTGGGACCTTGTATGCATTACAAGGGTATGTGTTGCCTGGTTCTGCTGCAGTTGCATCGTCTCAGTTTCATCAGGAAGATATGACCACTCTCTGACACATGAGACTGGGGCATATGAGTGAACGAGGGATGCTAGTTCTATCGAAGAGGGATCTTATTTGCGGGCACAAGGTGCAGAATTTGGAATTCTGCGAGCATTGTGTGTTTGGGAAGCTACATCCCAGCAAGTTTCCCAAGAAGGGTATCCACCGGACAAAGGGGATACTGGATTACCTCCACTTCGACTGTTTGGGTCCTTCACGAGTTGAATCCATTGGAGGCAGCAGGTATTTTCTGTCTATTATTGATGATTATTCGAGATTTACTTGGATTTTCATGATGAAGCAGAAAATTGAGGCTTTCACGAAGTTCAAGCAGTGGAAGACATTGGTGGAGAATCAGACTGGGAAGAAGATCAAGAAGCTGCAAACGGACAATGGTCTGGAGTTCTGCAGTTCTGAGTTCAACGAATTCTGCAAGGATGAAGGGATTGCCCGTCATCGGACTGTTAGAGATACACCCCAGCAGAATGGCGTTGCAGAAAGGATGAACCAGACATTGTTGGAGAGAGCACGATGCATGCTCTCTAATGCTGGACTAGAGAGAAGATTCTGGGCAGAAGCAGTTAACATGGCGTGCTTCCTGATCAACCGTGGACCTCACACAGGTATCGAGTTGAAGACTCCTTATGAGGTGTGGTATGGTAAGCCTGCTGATTACTCTTCACTGAAAGTTTTTGGGTGTCCTGTTTATTATCATGTGGATGAGGGTGAACTGAACCCAAGGGCAAAGAAGGGTGTATTTGTGGGTTACGGAGATGGAGTTAAAGGATTTCGAGTCTGGTCGCCTTCTGAGCATCTAGTTATACTCAGTAGAAATGTGATATTTGATGAGAAGTCTATGTTTAACCCCATGTTGAAGGATACTGTTGTTGAAGGTAGCAGGAATGTTGATAAACAGGTGGAGTTGCAAACTCTCAAAGAGAGTGAGTTTGAGCGCCAAGGTGGAGAAGATCAACATGGTGAGGATGTCTCTGCAGAGCCAGAAATTTCAGAGTCCAGTGCACGAGCTCAACAGTCTATTGCTTCCGGTAGACCGAAGAGAGCGACTGCAGGAGTACCTCCACAGAGGTATGGCTTTGAGGACATGGTGGCGTATTCATTTCAGGTTGCTGAGGAAGTGGATGCAGGAGAGCCACAGTCCTATAGAGAAGCAGTTTCGGGTGGTGAAGCTGATCAGTGGCTTGCCGCAATGGGAGATGAGATGGAATCCCATGACAGGAATCAGACTTGGGAGCTAGTCAAACGACCACAGGGAAGGAAGACTGTGACAAACAAGTGGATCTACAAGAAGAAGGAAGGAATCACTTCTAAAGAGGGCATGAAATTTAAAGCTTGGGTGGTTGCACGAGGCTTCTCGCAGATGGAAGGAGTTGACTACAATGAGATTTTCTCACCAGTGGTCAGACATACTTCGATCAGAGTGCTACTAGAAATAGTGGCACATTATGACTTGGAGCTCGAGCAGCTAGACGTGAAGACAGCTTTCCTACATGGAGAGTTGGAGGAAGAAATTTACATGACTCAGCCAGAAGGATTCGAGGTTCCGGGAAAAGAAGACTATGTTTGTAAGCTGAAGAAGTCCTTGTATGGACTTAAGCAGTCTCCGAGGCAGTGGTACAAGAGATTTGACAGTTACATGCTTGAGCTGGGCTACAACAGAAGTCCATATGATTGTTGTGTATATCACAGCAAGGCAGATGATGGTTCGATGATATATCTAGTTCTGTATGTGGATGATACGCTCATTGAGATGAAGGATTTGTGAGCTGCTCAGAAGATCTTGGGTATGGAGATTTACAGGGACAGGTCGAAGAAGAAGCTTTTCTTGTCACAAAAGAGCTACATCCAGAAGATATTGTCGAGGTTTGACATGTCTTCAGCAAAGCCCTTAAATACTCCTAGTGCTTCAAATGTTCATCTATCCGCAGCTTATGCACCGCAGTCAGAGGCTGAGAAGGAGTACATGTCGAGAGTCCCATATGCTAGTGCAGTAGGTAGCTTGATGTACGCTATGGTATGCACTAGACCTGATCTTGCACATGCTGTTAGTGTTGTCAGCAGGTTTATGATACAACCTAGAAAGGAGCATTGGCAGGCTGTGAAGAGGATCTTCCGGTACCTTAAGGGTACACCTGATGTGGGGATTAGCATCGGAAGTGATGCAGAGTGCTTGGTGTCTGGGTATTCTGACTCGGACTATGCTGGAGATGTTGACACAAGGAGATCGATGACCGGTTATGTATTCACTCTTGGGAGTTCTATAGTGAGCTGGAAGGCAACTTTGCAGTCGGCGGTGACATTGTCTACTACTGAGGCAGAGTATATGGCGTTGACAGAAGCTGCTAAGGAGGGAATATGGTTGAAGGGACTGGTTGGTGATCTGGGTCTACATCATGATCAGGCAGTGGTGTATTGCGACAGTTTGAGTGCAATATGCTTGGCCAAGGATCAAGTCCACCATGAGAGGACTAAGCACATCGACGTGAGGTATCATTTCTTGAGGACAGAGAAGAGGATTAAGGTGAAGAAAGTTGGCACCGCGGATAATCCTGCTGATATGTTCACGAAGCCGGTTCCACATGGCAAGTTCCAACACTGCTTAGACTTGCTGAATGTCTTGAGTGGATGACTCCGCCCTACGGGGCATTGATGGCGGGAGAGAGAGAGAAGGAACAGAGTACATCAGAGATTTCAGAGGAAGAGGATTCAAGTCAAGGTGGAGATTTGTTGATGTGACTTGAATCGGACTATCAGCCGCTAGGACTGGTAATCGGGGGTCTCGCTGCCCGGTCAGCGAGTGGGGTCCACGGTATATGGGCTCAATGTTATTTGGGTTCGGGTTCTGGGCCTGGTCTGTAACCGTTTCCTTTGGTAGTTTGGATTAGGTTTAGACCCACATGGAGAAGTACTATAAATACTTCTCATACTCCTCTGTAATCTGTAATCTCCTCGATATAGTGAAACTGACTCTCTCTCGCCCTTGGACGTAGCTAACACACATCGTGTTAGTGAACCACGTAAATCGTATGTCTGTGTTTTCGATTCTCGCTTTCGTATTCTTGCTTTGTCGATTCCAGCGATTTCCGATCCGTAGCGTTTATAACAAACCATTTCTATGATCGCATGCCGGAACTCCCTGTCCGGGTCCGAATTCATATTTTCCGATTTCCGGCTTGTTTGTTCTGCTATGCTCTGTTCGTTTTCAGTTTCTCATTTCGAATTCACGAAATTCTGGCAGACCATGGTTACAATATGCGAGTCGATTGAGGGGACGGGATATGACGAAGGAGATGTTCTCATCTTCCCTGATATGATCAAGTACAAGTGAGCTAAATAAGATTTTCTTACTTTTTTGGCGCCCATTTCTGTTATCATCTTTCTGTTTTTGTCATGCTTCCAGCCTACTAGCAATGTTGCTTACTAGCTTTCAAGCTCTGAGGTTAAATTAGGGACTATTGTCTGTATTTGATGAACTGATTCCTATCTTCGAGGGATTTTGATGTGCAATAAGGCGATTGAAGGACTCATATATTGGTGAGTTCATTGACGATGTGCTTGTGAAAGATGTACCATGGGCGTCTGGAGTGCAAGAGAAGTTGACAGGCTGTCACATCTTTGTATGTGCTCATGGGAGTCTTCATGAGATATACCGTCTTTGTGCCCCGATTCTTATTGAGAAGCTCAATGAGGTCGTCGAGGCTCGAGGGTTGCAGGGTCAGGTGTACGTCAGTGGTTGCTCAGACGTTTATGGCCCCGAGTATGCTCCAAACTTGATTGTATACAGATCAGACTCAGAGGGGAGAGTTACCGGTCACTGGTGATGATCAGGCTTTGGATGCCAATTCCTCAATCTCTTTGTTTTTCCCAGTCATTTTGGGAAATTGAAGGACGATACTAACACAACTATTGCTGCAGGTACGGCCATGTTACTCCACGCGACGTGCCTTACCTTCTGGTTTACCATTTTGGGAAAGGAGAGGTGATACTACATAAACTGAGGTTTGTGATCTTGTGCCTGGGTCTCTGTTCTTTGCATTTTACTTTTTGCTTGCTCAGCATATGGTAATGCCGTAATGGGATACAGTATCATAGAAATCCCTGTGTCTTGCAGTGATCGCGAAACTAATAAAGCATGTGTAAAATCATATCCCAGGGGTCAAGCGGGGATATATGATGAATACGATTATGCAGATGAAGTCTTGGTTCGTAACGTTGCTACAGGAATCGCCGTAATGGGTGCTGTAGCGACCATTGCGCTGGCATATTTCGTCTACAGATCTAGGTCAAGTTGAAGAAGAGAAGGGAATCTTAAAAAAAAAACCATGAGAGAAGCTCTGTCCTCTCTCCTCGGAGATTGGACGCAGCTCGTCCTTCTCCCTCTTGGCAAGTTCTGCCGTTCAGCAGGTCAGACCCTTCTCTGGTTCTTGGCCGCGTTGCTGGAGGCCTCCCTAAACAATCAACCCTCCTCGGGTAATCGAGGAAAACAAGATGCTCGTGATGGTGGGCAGCCAAAAAAGGCCACCGGTTCGAGCGTCCTCGGTCGTCTAAATCGGACGGGCGGCGAGGCGTGCTATCCCCCGGGCACTAACAATAGAAGCCGGAAGCGCAAAATTGCCTCACCCCTGACCTTGGTTGGAAGTACGATTGGGGGTTTGCCCAAACGTGGACGTCTTGAAGCACGTCCAGGATGGCGGTTTCGCATTCCTACTCCGGTTGAACTGGAGATGGAAGAGGAAGTGTTGAGCTATCCCAAAAGAGGATTTGGGGCTGTTGGCCCGGTAAGTGAGACGAGTATTAGACCCTGTTCTGGGGTGAAGCCAATCATCCAAAAGCCGACAGGCTGCCGCTGCCCGGTGGTCGACGTGATTGACAAAAACGTCCAGGGGGTTTTGAACCAATCCCGGACAGTGACAGAGACCAGTTGTCTCGCACGGAGCCTTGATAATGGTGAAGATTGTAGTGCGGCGGATCCCAGAACCCAAAACGGGGAGAGATCGCCCACAGAACAGCCGGAATGTGGACGGGCCGGTAAAGCGTCCCTAGTCCGGCGAACGACATTGCTTAGGCCGACTCCGATCGGTAGCTACCGTCCGGCGAGAGTAACTACTTGTGGGGTATTTAACAAACCCCTGATTCTTCGGAATTTGGCTGATTCACATGTATCTCAGCGTATCCCCCGTAAATGGGATCTTTTTCAGAAAATATTCTTGGATAAGGATTGTTTCACAGACCCACTCCCGGTAGGACTCCCCAAGCCGACGAACCAACGCGGTAATCCTGCCTATTTAACTTGTGAGCCGCAGACAATTCCCAGTATACAAATTCTCGATTGTGGAAGTTCTCTGACGGTTCTTTCAAGTGTGGTGACTAAGCTCCCAAGGCACCTACCTGGTACGTGGGTCCCCTTTCCTTCGAAAGTTCCGTTTGAATTTTCGGAGGATTTCTTCCCGCTCTATTGCCTTTTACCACCGATCCCCTGTTCCCTGTCTTCCTCTGTATACTCCTATTCTGATAGTTTGGTGGTTCTGCAGCCCTCCGACATGATTCAGGCTGCAAGTGATCAGGTCGTGGCCTTCTCCCTCGAGGAGGTTCAGTCTGACCGAGCTCGACGATCCAAGATGCTGCTGGGCCGCCTGTTCACTGACCAAAACACAACACTCACGGAGATGCGGGCCGCGATCAACACTCCATGGCAAGCCCGGGGTCGTGTCATTGTTCGCATGGCTGCCCATGGATTATTTGAGTTCGTGTTCCCGAACCCAACGGCTCGGAACTGGGTTCTCCAAAGGACCCCGTGGGTGGTTGATGATAAAATTCTTCACTTGTGTGCTTGGATTCCATCCATAACGAGGCGGACTTTCGACGAGCTTGCTCTGGTCCCTTTCCGAGTCCAGCTTTGGGACGTACAAGATGACTGCTGCACGCAACAGTTCGGGCGTAAAGTTGCGAGCACTACGCTGGGACGAGTGCTGGAAACTGGAGTGTATTTGTGCACGGATTCGAGGCAGAAGTTTGTGAAAGTGAAGGCTGTTTTGGACTTCTCGAAGCCTCTTCGTTCCCAGGTGCTGGCGTCGAATGAGGAGACCGGGGAGTTCTGGATTCGGTTCAAATACGAATTCCTCCCAACTTGTTGCTACCATTGTGGCCGATTGGGGCATTCACGCCCGGCTTGCTCGTTTGACCCTCCTACAAGGGCGGAACGCTTTGGTAATCATATGACAACAAAGAAAATGGAAAGAAGCTGCGAGAGGAGGGGGAAGATGATCAGTATGTCCCGAGTCATCCTAATTCAGTTTGGATCAACAAAGCAGTGAGGGCTAACCCGGTGGCTGAGCCTCGGGTGACTCTTGAAGCCAAACGAGAGGGGAATCAGGTGAAGCAAATTGCGGAGGATAAGAGCCCACTGTGGATGGGTACTTCGCGTAACCCCTTCCAAGCCGTGGAGCCGCAAGCTCAGAGGGAGAAGGGGCAGTTTCGGGTTGCAGTCTCAAAATCCCCTAAAATAGCCCTGGGCAATCGTGTCCGCCGTGGGCAGCAGCGGAGCCAAGATTCGGACTCGACGGGGATGCAGAGCCATGGTGCCACTGGTCCTAGGCCTGCTCGTGCTACTGGTACGAAACCTCCGGCGAGCCGGGAAACGAGGGGCATGAGGCAGGAGATTGACCCGGGTTTCGGTCATCAGGGGGGGAGGAGGACTGGGGTCCTGCCGGAGGAGGGCATGGGTGATCAAATTACCACCCGCCGCCGCGGCCTCCTCCTGGAGAACGAATCGGAGGATGAATTTGTGGTGCACGAGGTATCGGAGCCACAACCTGGTCGTAAAGGCGCGTTCCCTGCCGCCTTGCACGCCGATTCAGCTGAGAAAGGACGTGGGCGGGCCAAGAGAAATCCGTCGCTGAAGAAGAAGATTGCTGGTAAGAAGAGGCCTGGTACTGTGAAGGATGGGCCGTTGCCTACAAAAGGCGGATCGAATAACCGATCAAGCAAGCAGGCCCTGGCCCATGTCGAGCTGGATGCGGAAGCAGAAGCGGGCATTCTCATGGATGGGGGGCTGGCGGATGTGGAGTTGGGCATGACTGATCCTGATGGGCCGAAAGCCCAGGAAACCAGCCATGTTGTGGCTGACTCGGAGGAAGACTCAGTGGAGGGTGAGGAGATGAATTTTGAGATTCGTCGACGTGAGCCAGTGGTTCAAAAGAAATTTAAGCGGCTTCACCAACCAAATCGGGTTCGCCAAGTTGTTGAAGCATTCGAGAATGGGCTGTCCATGGCTTATACACAAGCTGACCCAATTTTGGTTCTACCTATGGATAGCAAGGCGGCTATTGATGCTGGGCAAGGAGAGAATGTCATGGCAGAGAAACTGGAATTCAATGAATATGGGTCCAATTTGTCGGACCCGGGTTTGGGAACCAAGAAACGTCATATTGACGAGATGGAGGGGGCAATTGCGGAAATACCTACCCCTAAGAAACAGTTCGTGGAAGAGATTGTGGAAACTGAGTCGGTGGAGGAAGCCAGCCGTGAATGGCCCCAGCCGGATAAATGAGGCTTCTTGCCTGGAATGTGAGAGGCATTGGACCATCCCTCACATTCCAATCTGCTGTTAGTCTTCTGCACTCTAATAAACCGGATCTTGTGTTCTTTTCTGAGACACGTTCGAGCCGGCGCGTAGTTTCCCGTCGTATGCGGGGTTTAGGTTTTCCTTATTCTCGTTGTTTTTTTGTTGATGCGATTGATGCATCTGGTGGGTTAGTAGCGGCTTGGTCCCCTGGGGTTGACGCCTCGGTGTTATTTCATTCCAATTTTTGTATTTGTGTTCAAGTTAATGAAATAAATGTTTCTTATGTGGTGGTGTTTGTCTACATCAGTTGCAATCTTGCAATCCCTGCGTCCCAGCTGATTCAGCTTCGTGATATGTGTGCCACCATTCATCTCCCTTTTGTGATACTTGGTGATTTTAACACGACTCTCCATGAGGGTGAGAAGGATGGTGGGCTTCCTTGGAATGCCGCTCAAGCTATCAGTCTTCGTGACTTTATTCAAGATCTAGGGCTGCATGACCCTGGCTACCAGGGTGACCTTTTTACCTGGACTAATAAGCGGATGGGCCCTGCGTGCATTCGTGTGAGATTGGATAGATCCCTGTGCTCCCAGGCTTGGATTTACCTCTTTCCTGATACTATGCTCAAGCACTTTAAGGATCAAGGATCTGATCATAGAGCCTTGGTTCTCTCGGATAAGGTCTATGCAAGAGCTAGTCGTCCCCTGTTCCGTTTTGATGCCCGTTGGGCGGATAATCCTGAGGTCAGGGCGATGGTCAATTATGTTTGGCAGGAAGAGGTGCAGGGTACTCCCATGTTTTGCCTCTGGGAGCGACTTAAGAAGCTTCGCCACTTGCTTTATGACTGGAGCCGGGCTGGTACGACAAATTCCTTACGCAACATTAAGACTCTTCAAACCGAGATTGATAGAATTAAAGCAACTCTCCCACGTTTGGAGGTCGAATTAAGTAGACAATGGGAGGCGGAAGAGATTTATTGGCAACAGAAATCCCGGGTGAGGTGGCTAAAGAGAGGAGATAAGAATACTTCGTATTTCCATACGGTCACTCGGGTTCGACGAAAGAAAAACTTTGTGGCTAGGCTGCAGAATGATGAGGGGGAGTGGGTAACGGAAGAACGCGAGAAGGCTGCTCTGGCAGATACTTTCTATCAGACTTTATTTACCTCGGAAAATCAGGTCCTTAATATGTCTGAAAGAGTGGCTGCCCTGCCTATTGCTCGTAGTGTTACCCCTGAAATGAACGATCTGTTGACTGCTGACGTCCTCCCGGCTGAAGTTCGCAGTACTGTCTTTTCAATGGGATCCAATCAGGCTCCGGGATCTGATGGTTTTACTGGGAAGTTCTTTAAAGCTTTTTGGGATATTGTGGGTAACTCTGTCACAGAAGCAGTTTGCTCGTTCTTCGTGACAGGTCGCATGCTTCGCAGCTTTAATCATACTTGGCTCACTCTGATCCCCAAAGTGGATAATGTGGAAACTATGCGCCAGCTCCGCCCGATC